TTAGAGAAAGAGTAGTGTACTCAAATTCTTAAGTTCTGGGCTTTTTATGGGCAGTCAGAAGACCAGGGACTTTCCATGGCTACACTGAAAAGGTCTCTTATTTCCTGCATTTACCAGGCTGAAGTAGCTAAGAGTTCATCCCAAAGGAATTTCCCAAGTTGCCAAGTCACAGCATCAGTTGAAATCACAACCTTGCCAAGTCTCCTATGTAAAAATTAAACAGTTGATCTGGAAACGGGGCACTCACAAAATTGGAATGGAAATATATGCAAGGATTTCCTTGACTTACAATACCCCAAACTCCAAATTATCCTCACACTCCACCTTACCACCCTTTACTGCCTCCAAAATTAGAAATAAGTCAGATCTCTGGAAGAGAAGGTACATTATAAAGTCAAAGCTTAGAGAGAAAGGGTTACCCACCAGGAGAATTTCAAGATGTTGCTAATCTGTATCAGCAGAAATGAGAAGACTGGGTTTGAGAATTCATTCTAATTTTTGATCAGGCTGAATTAATCAATATGGAGGCATTCACCAGAGAGTCACAGTTCAGCTAGCTACTAGCTTGAGTATCTGGGAGTGGGTCTAAATATTTGCTCAATTGGGTGGCAGATACTGAACTCAGTGTGGCTTATACAAAATAAAATTGAGTTTCCAGAAAATTCCTGTTGTAATAAAGAAGGAATGCAACCAGTTAAGGAAATGGGAATGTTGGAGTGGAGTTATCATATGAAACCCATTCAACGATTCTCCAACTATGAGAGCCCAGAAGACACTGTGTAGGCTCTGGCAATTAAGATATACCTAGAAAAGAGGGAACACAGCATCTGAAAAGCACAGTAGCAGTGTTCTATGAGAATGTGGGTGAGAGATGCTACCACTGAATGAGAATCCCTATTTCAATAACAATGAGATTCTACGTGGCAGAGGACAAGTAGGGGCATTTTAATGCTGGAGGGCTAGAAAAGTAGGTAGAATGATAAAATCTGTAGGGATCTATGATTATTATGGTCAATTGGTCATGGGTCTCTAAAACCAAAATATAGGGGCGCCTGGGTGGCTCAGTCGGTTAAGCGTCTGCCTTCAGCTCAGGTCATGATCCCAGGGTCCTGGGATCGAGCTCCACATCGTGCTCCCTGCTCAGCAAGAAGCCTGCTTCTCCCTCTCCCATTCCCCCTGCTTGTGTTCCCTCTCTCGCTGTCTTTCTCTCTCTCTCTGTCAAATAAATAAATAAAATCTTTAGAAAAAAAATAAAACCAAAATATATCAGCAGCCCACCAAGGTCCTGATTCAGTCAGGATTCCATTTTAAATAACAGAACAAACCTCACTTTTTTAACAGAAAGGAATTTAATACAGAGCATTAGGTGCTTACAAAATCATAAGAAGACTGGATGAGCAGACTCTAGATTGGGCATCTAGGAATAGCTTCCAGATTAACACCACAGAACCAGCCCCAAGGGAACTCCTGGTCTGTCACAATCAGAAAGCTTGGGAATCTGTAAGCCAGAACCAGATCTATTGACCCCAGGACCATATAGTACCTACTAGATCTATACCAGCAAAAACATTCCCCACTGTAGACCTCTCCCCACTCGACTCATGTCCCACAGAAGTGTAAGTGACTGGGAAAATCTAAATTGCATCTACAGCCATAGCTATAAGGGAATCTGGGAAAGCTAGGTCTGAGATTATCCACCTTTAGAGTACAGGAATGCTCACTAGAAGGATGTGGGGCTGATATGAGCAAGTCGGTCTTCCATATGTGCCCCAACTCCCTATCCCGCACTCCAAAAAGAAAACTTTAGGTCAAAAAGAGGCCTGTCTCAAGCCCCATGATAGAGAATGACAGACTCATCTAATCCCAAAACCATAACTAGCTCAGAGATGCAGAGGACTTTGAATAAAGGGAAGTCCAGGTATCCTTGAGGAAGGACTTTGCAATAACATCATAAGCACATAGTGTATGTCTACCTCCAATCTTCCCCATAGGAACCTGTGGGCATTTACAAGAGTAACTATATACTGGGGGAAGAGAAACACCCAGACCTTCATGGATTATTGGACACTGACTCCACACTAACTCTAATCTTTGAAAATTGGAGGTTAACATAACAACACTGTGGTTTACCAGTTAGACTGGAAGCTTATGTGGGTATATGTTATATCTGTCATTTTTGATTACTATTCTTTTCCAGGTACATCCAAAAACTACATTTCCCAGCCTTCTTTGCTGGGAAATGAGGTTCTGCACCATGTGAGTTTTAATTTACTTAATCACTCTAAAGGATTGTGTCAAGAAGACACCACTGCCATTGCTCCTGGGCACAGAATTGTAGCTCAAACTGTTGATGTTGGGCACTGCATATCTCTGCAGAGCCACCATTTCTGTGGCCTCAGTAAACTGTGGGTCTCTGCCCCAGCTCTGTTCATGCCACATTAGATCCCACCCAGTGCTTCCTTCACATTCAAATCAGTCTTGTGTGGGAGCACCTGATTGGGAGAGCTGTGTCACATGTTCATGCCCTTGCTGCAAGGGAGGTTGGAAAAGCAAGTTTCTGGCTTCTCCCTTGGGGAGCCTTAGACTGAAGATGGGCAGTTCTCCAAGTAAAGGTAGAGAGAAGATATAAAGTGGTAAGAGAAGAAGACAGCTAGTAGCAGGAAGAGAACCAGGGAACAGAGTAACCCGTTGCATAGTCAGGGCTGTACCACTAGCGAAAGAATCACAAACTCTCACTGCTCCAGCAACCTACTAGAGCCATCTTGGACCCAGGGACATCATTCAGCTTCCATCTTCATAAATCCCCAGATCTTGAGTTTTCCTGAGCTTCTGTGCCACTCCTGTCCTACGTTTACCTTTATGTAACCTCTCCCCCAATAATTTGGCCAATCTATGGCAAATTGTTTTCCAAAGATCAGTATATCCCATTCCACATGCTGATCTTCAATGTGACATTAACACTCCTCCATCTTGAGATGGGGTTTGTACTTGTTTTCTATTTCTGCTTAACAAATTACTGCAAATGTAGAAGCTTAAAGCAGCACCCATGTATTAGCTCACAGTTCTGCAGGGGTTCTCTATGAAGGGTATCACAAGGCTGAAATCAAGGTCTGAGTTCTCATCTGGAGACTCAGGCGAGAAATCTGCTTCCAAACTCTTTCTTGTTCTTGGAAAAGTTCAGTTCTTGCAACTAGAGAGCTGAGATCCCCTTTTTCTTGGTGGCTTTCAGCTCCTAGAGGCCACCCACATTTCTTGCCACATACACCTTTCATCTTCAAGCCAGCAGTGGCATATCAAAATCTTGCACTTCAAATCTCAGACTTCCTCTTCTATGACCAGCCAAAGAAAACTCTTTTCTTTTAAAGAGCTTATGTGATTATGTCAGGCCCACCAGGTAATCTTCCTGTCTTAAGGTCAACACATTAGAGACCTTAATTACTTCTCCAAAATCCCTTCACAGTAATACCTAGATTGGTGTTTGACTGAATAACTGGAGTCATCTTTGAATCCTTCCCACTGCAAGGTCGGTGCTTCCTCTCTTGAATCTAAGCAGGCCCATTGACTACAGTGGAAGGGACACTGCATGACTTCCAAGTCTAGATAGTAAAGCAAAACAGTTTCTTCCTGGCTCTAGCATATAAGAAGTATGGCTACCCTGAAGCTGCCCTGCTGGAGGGATCACATTGAGAATCTCCATACAGAGCTGCTAAGGAGCCCCTGCAGGGCCAGCCCCCACATCTGAGTCTTTCCAGCCCAGGGGCCAGGCATACGAGCAAGACTTCAAATGACTCCAGCCCCGAGCCTATGAGCCACAGTGACAACAAATGGATAAGAGGTGAGCTGTCCCCACCAAGCCCCCAAACCAATGTCATTCTTTTAAGCCTCCAAGCTTTGGGAAGGTTTGATAAGCAGCTATAATATCTGGAACATAGGCTGAGGGGCCGTCTGTCACTAGTTAGGACAAGGAGTTTTGTATCAGGCCCAGTCAGAATCCTTGAAGAAAATTGTTGGCAGGTGTCTTGTGGAATATTCCTCACTGTGCCTTGGAGCACTTTATTTGTGTTATATTTTTTGCCATCTATGAAATCTCCCAAAGCAAAACCACATTGTTTTTGTCCTGTTTCCCTCTGTACCTAACACATGACCTGCTAATAGACTATGGCAGACTGTTTGCACAAACTGGCCTCAGTTATGGCCCTCCCTATATCCATGTCCTTGCCATGTGACTTTGTAGCTCCCACCTTCAAGAAGAGTCTATTTCCCCTGTTCTTGAATCTGGCCAAAGCTGGGACTTGCTTTGGACAGTAAGGTGCAGCCCAAGTGATTACTCAGAGCCTAAGCCTCAAGAGGCCTTGTGTCTTCCACTCACTCTCTTTGGACACTTGCTTGAGCTAGCCAGCTGGAGGATGAGAGTCATGTGTCTCATTCACCCCCAGCACCCCCAAACAGCATGTAGCCAAGCCCCAGAGGCAGAGCCACTAGCCAACTTGCAGCTGACCATAGATGCATGAAGGAAAATAGAACTGCCCAGTCTAAACTGCCAACTGCAAAATAATGAGCTAAATAAATGGTTGTCATTTGAATTCACTAAACTATGGGTTGCTTTGTTACAAGCAAAAGTCAACTGATAGAAAACCTAACCAACACTCAATAGGTTCTCCCTTCACCTCCTTTCTGTTCCTTCTTAATCCCAAAGAACAAATGGGTCAAAGTCCAAGTTTTATTTGCAGTAGGAAAGCTTTATTAGGAACATGAGATCAGGCAGGGAGTGGGGTCACCCCTAGACCAGACAGTGGAAGAGAGGTCTCCCGAACCTTCCCAAGAGAGGGAGTCAGTGGGCAGCCAGAGGTATACATGCCCACTCAGCCCAGTCCCAAATGAGCTCTGGGGCTCGTTGCCAGCTATTCCTGATGCCAGAAGACAATGAGCAGGATTCGTTGGGGGACTGCCTGTCTGGAGGACACTCAGCTAGGGCAGGGCCAGGAGAGTTTACAGGTGCTCTAGTATCGATTCTGGTAGCCTGTGGAGAGATGGAAGAGACGTAAGAGTATGAAGAGAGAACTTAGAACAGGAGAAAGAGATACTGGGACTTAAAGAAAGATGGGCACACTGGGAGCAAGGAGACTGAAGCTCATAGAGCTAGAAGGACCTTGGGGTCCCAGTGGCCCCCATCTAATTCCTAAAGCTCTCCTGCAGCAGCCCTAACATATACTCTCCCATTTCTTTCCTTTTTTTTTTTTTAAGATTTTATTTATTTATTTGACAGAAAGAGAGAGAACACAAGCAGGGAGAGCAGCAGAGGGAGAGGGAGAAACAGGCCCCCACTGAGCAGGGAGCCCAATGTGGGGCTCAATCTCAGGACCCTGGGATCATGACCTGAGCCAAAGACAGACACTTAACTGACTGAGCCACCCAGGTGCCCCGATACTCTTCCATTTCTGAGGATGAAGGCTCATGAGCCTGGCCCCTCCTCCACTCAACAGGTTTGTTAGTAAAATTCTTGGATATTGAGGCAAGGGTGGCCCCAACCCATACATCCATGGCCCTGCAATGCCACTTAACACACAAAACCACACCAGACACCCTAGAGAAGGACAGCTCCCATGCACCTCAAGACTTCTCTGAGCTAAGCATTCCCACTTGTGTTACCCAGGCTTTTACTACAATTTCATATTAAATTTTTATTTTATGAAATTCCATATGCATAAGGAGAAACTTTCTCTGACCTGGAGACCACTTCACTGTGTGACTCTTCTACATTCAGATTATTATGTTCAGTATATGTCCCTTTAGATGGTTGCACCATATAACTGACTTGTATGAGCCAACCACTGACTACAACACCTGAACATCTTTTATACCCATTCTCATGATGATTAAAAGTACTGGCTGTGGAGACCCACAGAGCTGAGTCCCTCATTTATTAGTTGTATGACCTTGAATAAGCTGCATATCTTCTCTGAACCTCATTTTCCTTATCTCTAAAACGGGTATAACAATACCAACCTCATAGGGTGTGGTGGGAAATATATAAGATAATGCACAATTTCCAACCCATCTCCTATGCTATTGAGACTCAGGACATGTGTAGATTTGGTCCTAGCCTCACCCAAAGTTCTGTCAAAATTAATGATAATTCAGAAACATGGGCAAGTGTATGACCCCTCACTAGAGACCTCCCTAAAATCTAGTTCTGTTCAGAATATGCATTCTCCAGAAAGCTCAAAGATACTCAAAAAGGGGTGGTACCTTGACAGCTTAACACCTGTGCCTCCCTGACCCCAAAAGCTAGAGTTGTTCCTTACCTTGTTTATCATCACATTCACCAGATTTGGAGGAAGAGGACTGGGACTGAGCTGGTCTTCCACTTCCTCCTTTGGACCCACTTCCTTCTTCATAGCCACCACCACTTCTTCCTACAAAACTACTTCTTCCCCCAGAGCTGCCTCCACTTCCTCCCCTGCCTCCACTTCCTCCTCCAGAACTACTTCCTCCTCCGTAGCTGCCTCCACTTCCTCCTCCAGAACTACTTCCTCCACCATAGCTGCCTCCACTTCCTCCTCTGTGGCTGCCTCCACTTCTTCCTCCAGAACTACTTCCTCCACCAAACTGCCACCACTTCCTCCTCCGTGGCTGCCTCCAGTTCTTCCTCCAGAACTACTTCCTCCACCATAGCTGCCTCCACTTCCTCCCCAGGATCCTCTTCCGTGACTGCCTCCACTCCACCTTGATATCTACTTCTGCTACCTCCAAAGTGACTTCGTCCAGATTCATGAGGTTCACTGAGAAGGAAAGATAACACAGAGAGAAAAATTAGTGACCCCACATACATATTCAAGGATGGACCTGGACAGAGTCAGGACCCAAATGTGAATCTTCCTAAGGTTTCCTTTTGCAAGGTAGAGGACAGGCTGGACTGGCACCACAGCTTGAAGGGAGAGCCTCCCTCTCCCTGGAGCAAGGACTAGTCCCTTCTCTCATTGTTACCAACCTCCTTTCCCAAAGCCCAAATGCCTTGAGGTTCCCTTATAGGATGAAGAAGTCCTCAACCCATCAGACCCTTGTGTACAGGAACTTCCCCAGCTGCCTCTATCCAGAGGGACAGATGTAGTGTCAGGAGCTTAGAAATTCCTAGGGATTCCACAGAGTCCTGGGGAACCTACAGGTCCTCCTGGCCACCCTCAAGGAGGCTGTGGTAGGTCTTAATTTCCTGCTCCAGCCGTGTCTTGGTGTTGAGCAGAAGGCTGTATTCCTGATTCTGGCATTCAATCTCTTCCCAGATCTCAGTGATCTCGCCCTCGAGGTTACTGATCTGCTCCTGCAACTGCTGCAGCTGGCCACAGTAGCGGTTCTTGGTGTCTTCCAAGGACTTCTCCAGGGCTGATTTCTAGGAGGCAGGAGGAGGCTATAAGACGGATGCTACATCATAGCTCCTCCCCTTCCCACTCCAGTGATCATGCCAAGCCTTCAGTGCCTCACTCTGGCAGAGGATCTAGAACAGAACTACCAACCCTGCTGAGCTGAGACTGCAGCTCAATCTCCATCTCCTGGATGCTGTGCCGGAGCTGGGTCACCTCCTTGTGGTTAGACTCCATCTCCCCGGCCACTATTCATCACCTCCTGCTCCATCTGGCTCATCTGAAAACCCAAGAGCTCAATGAGAACCAGGCTGTATCAGAGACTACCATGGGCAAGGCTCTGCCCCACTTATCAGGACATTTGCCTCCAGGGCCAAGAGTGAGCCAAAAACAAAGACAAGTCATCCTGAGTTCTGGGTCTGCTAGTAAGCCAAGGTAATCCAATCCTCTCAACTTAACATTCCCTCTCAGCAAGGCTTCAAGACTCTTCATACCTTCCCCAAACCACCTTTCTAACCTTATTTCAAACTGACCCCAAACACACACACACACTACAGATATGCCCTCATGTGCCAGGGTCTATGCTAGGCACTGGAGGCCCATCAGAGAGCTCAGTGTGGCATGAGAGGCACACCATGTACCTCTACTAGATTCTGATGGCACATAGCCTTACACGAGTTGTTCATGCTCTGCCTTGTTCACATATGTAATAAACTGTAAGCTTCTTGAGGGCAGCAGTCTTATTTGGCTCATCTCTGAGACATCAGGATTTCACATAAAACCTGGTACTGACAAGCTACTCAATAATTGTGTTTGCGGTTTAATGAAGGAAGATGGACAGATGATAGCTGGACTAAGAGATAGAGGGGTGGGAGAATAGAGAGATGGGGTGGAGGAGTGGAGGGATCCATGGAAAAGAGAGAGAAGGTTGAATGGGTAGCCCATTCTGCTGACCTGAGTCTCATATTGCTCCTCAATGTCCCTACGGTTCTTAGCACTGATCTGCTCATACTCCTCACGCATGTCATTGAGGATCTTGGTGAGATATTTGCCAGGAGCAGCATTTATCTCCACACTGACATCTCCAGAGTTCTGCCCAGTCAGCTGGTTCATCTCCTGCCAGGAACAAAGGAGATGTGAGGTCAAGGGGTGGGATCCTCTCCACCAACTTTTAGCCCTCACCCCTCCCTCCCCAGAGGTACAAAAAAGAGGCACAGCTGTGAAGGCAAAGCCCAACCACCACCATAGGCATTGCAAAGGAGGCACTGAGAGTGTCCTTAAGAGTCAGGGAAAGGATGTCTCCCAGGCAGTGCCCCATAGCTGTCCCCTCACTGTCTCTGCACTTCTGTTCCTCCTTATCCTCAATAAGCCACAAGTAGCCAGGACTGTACCTCCTGATGATTCTTCTTGAGGGCAACCAATTCATCCTGCAGAGACTCATACTGCATCTCCAGGTCAGACTTTTGCATGGTCAGATCATCTAGCACCTTCCGCAAGCCATTAATGTCAGCATCCACTCCTTGTCGCAGGCTGTTCTCCATCTCATACCTGCAGACCATCCACAGGTAGGAAATGAGCAAGAGGGCACCAGTCCCTATTGGGACCTTCAGAGCACTAGGGGGTAGAGAAAGATTTATGACAGCAGAGGGAGTGGGAGCAGGACTCACTTCATCCTGAAGTCATCCAAACGTCATGCAAGTGTTGTCAAGATCCAGGAGAGTCTTATTGCTGTTCACTGTGATGTTCACAATCTAAAAAAAAGAGGAGATGGCATGGAACTCATGCTTCCCTGCTATGACTCACTGCTGGGAGGGCAAGAAGCCAGGCAAAGCCATAAGAGATGAGGACCCCATCCAGAAAGATGATTAAGAGGTAAGAGGAGCTTCCAACAGCTGCTACAAGGCACAGACCCCTCACAGGCTTCAGCAAGGATGTCCAGTATGGCATTCATTCATTCATTCATTCAACAAATATTTGAAGATTTACTACAAAAGACACTGTGGAGTTTAGAGATCAATGAGATATTGCTACTCAAGGAGCCCACAATCAACTACCACATCCAAAATTATCATAGAAGAGATCAAGGAAAGGAGAGATGACATATGGCTATAGGAGATCAAGAAAGACTTCAGGGAGGAGGTAACAACTGAATTGGTCCCTGAAGGATAGCTAAGATTGCACATGGATAAAGAGATCGAAGAGGTTTGGGGTAGAAGAAACAGGATATCTAGAGGTTGTTTATCAGAAGTTGTAAAGGCAAGAGGAACAGGTGGGAACAGCAAATTAGCTAGACTGTGAGCTCCTCAAGACAGAGACCAAGTCTGGTACATCACCATGTCTGCCAAGGGCAACATTGAGGGTAGTCATTCACTAAATTGAGTGAATAAATAAATGGATAGATGGACATGTGGATGGATGGATGACTGGATAGATGGATGGATGGTGGGAGGATGGGTAGATGGGGGGAGCATGTGGGAGGAATGGAAGAGTGGATATATTACTTCCATCCCCAGAGTTCTAGATTCTGTTCATCACCTAAACAACTAGCATGTGTACCTGGAAATATCAAGACAGGCCTCTGTAGAAGCCCCGGAGAAGTAGGAAGGAAAAACACAGCTTCTAATTTTCCAAACTAGAAAGCTCTAAATTCTTAGGGTGTGAGAGGAGAGACAGGCACAGATTTTCTCCTCTCTTGAGCCATATGATCTACCTGTTTAGGGCAGTAGCACTCTTAACTCTTTTTCATAGGATTACAGAAGTTTCAAACCAAAAGGGACCTAAGAGCTGGTCTGCCCATCTTCTGCATTAAATGCACAGGAGAACAGGTGCAGAGAGGCATCAGGTTTCCCAAGATCACACAGTGAATTGATGGCAGACCCAGGACTGCATCACTGGCTCTCAGGGGAGTGCCTCCATCTCTATGCTCCCTCCACACTGCTTCTTCATTCCCATCCTGGGACCAGGCCAAGAGGAGACCCCCCACATCCAGTCCCAGGCTTCCCCACGTTAATCTAAGCCTCTTCTCTGCTCTGCTCAGACTCTGAAAGTTAGGAACATGGTGATGAAAGCCCAGAGCACAGGCCAAAGTCCCAGCCCTGGTGCCATCAAGAACCAAACACAGTTTGCTTCTGATGAAAGTATGTTTCCAAAAAATGGACCCCCTGACTGTTACCTAAGCTTAGAGTCTAGCATCTGACATTTTTTGGAAGATAAGGCATGTGAGTGTGTGTGTATGTGTGCGTGAGTGTGAGTGTGAGAGAGAGAGACAGAGAGACCAGGAGAGAAGGAACAGAGTTTCCCCACTTACCTGGTTCTTGAGGTCTTCGATAGTGTCATAGTAGGAGGAGTAATCCCTGTGGAAGGCCCTGGGTCCCTGCTTGTCATACCATTCTCGGATCTTATTCTCCAGTTCCTTGCTGGCATTCTCCAGTGCTTGCACTTTATCCAAGTAGGAGGCCAGCCGGAAATTGAGGTCCTGCATGGTGGTCTTCTCATCAGCACCCAGAATACCACCAGCACCACTGTCAAAGCCACTGCCAAAGCCCCCAGGCCCCCCAAAGCCTCCTCCAGATCCATCCCCAAAGCATCCTCCAGAACCACCACCGAAACTCCTAGAACGTCCACCAAAGCTACCAGCACTAAAACCACCCCCAGATCCTCCACCGTAGCTGGAGCCGAAACTGCCACCACCTCCCCTCCCACAGGCCCCAGAGCTCCCGGCTCCGTAGCTACTGGAAGAGCTGAATCGGCCCCCTCCTCCACCAGCCCCTGAGCAGCTCATGCGGCTGAATGAGGACATCATGCTGCCCTCAGAGCTGTTGCAGCCCCACGGGGAGGACATGAACTGTCTGCAGCTCATGGCTGGCCCTGCTGCTGCTCGTGGGCTAGGAAGCAGTCGTCAGAGTGTTGCTAGCTCCTGAGTGCAGGGTACAGAGCCGTCCCCAAGGCTTGCTACTTATACCCCCAGCTGAAGGTGGCACACCTAGATGTGCCCTCTGTCTGCACCAGCCTCCCCCCACAGACCTGAAGGAGGTCTGGGATTGGGAGGCGGCAGGGCTGCCCCGGGCTCAGCATCCTTTGGTGACTGCCAGGAGGCAGCCCAGCCTCTCTCCATTGTGTGGGGTAATTTAGTGATATTAGGCTGTCAGGGGCACCATAAATCAGCTCTGCTGCCAAGGGGGTGACCCAGATCCTAGAGTTTGGTCTCTAGCTGGCCCGACTGCCAGTCTGACTTAGCCCCTCTGGGATAGAAACTCCCAGGAGTAGAGTCACCTCCCCCACTGATGATTATCACCATCTGTCCCCCTCCCTGCTCCCACCATGTGCCCACTGTGGGGGAGCTAGGGCTGGGGTACCAAGGAGTTACCATAGAGGACGGGGGAGTCCCTGCCCACAGAGAGCTGCCAGTAGAGTGAGGAGCCCAGCCCCCACCCTCTCAGAGCCCCAGTCTGATGGGGAGCCCAGTCCTTGCTCTCAGAGACTCCAGTCTGATGAAGGAGACAATCCATGGCAGAGAGGCTGAGACGGTGACAAAGCAGCATATGCCCACCAGCACTCGGACCCAGCAAGCCGGGCTCACACAAAGGATGCAGGAGAAATAAGGCGGTGCTGATGTTGGCTGACCTTTGAGCAGGAAGGCAAGAGGCTCGACTGTCCTGGTCCTTCATCAGGGCCCAGCAATGGGTATGGAATTGACCTTGGTTGACTGTCCAGCCTGTACTGAGCCCTGGGAGGGGGATCCAGAGATGTGTGGCTTTTCCAGCCCTCCTGGAATTTGCAAGCCCCCTGCTCTGGGCAGAAAGTCGGAAGTATGTTCTGGTGAGCAAGGCCAGAAGACAGAGGTAAGGAAGGCAGGGGGCTCTGGTGCCAGACTACCTGAGTCAACCCCAGCAGGGAGCTGGGTTGAGCTGCGTGACTTCAGCAAGTTATGTAAGTACTCGGTGCCTCTGTTCCTTCCTCTGTAAAAAGATGGTATTAATGGTATGTCCATCTCTTAGGAAGAGAAGCATGAGAAGTGCTCGAGAAACAGTTTGACTGCCTCTGATCATTCAACCACAGCAGCCCTCTGGACCCTGCCCTCACCTGCATCTTTGCCATCAGCTCGTTGCTGCTCTCCTGGCCTCTCTCAGGCCTGACTCTTCCTTTCCACACCCGGGTGCGACCCCATCACTCCAGGCACTTCCCTTCGCCTCCAAGATAAGGTCCACCTTCCTGGCACTCAAGGCCCATACCGATCTTTCCATTCCAGCCCCATCTGCTGTCATTGCCCAGACCCCCTAACCCAATCCTGCAATCCTCCCGAACGCCCTTCAAACCTCAGATAATGCTCAGAGCTTGCAGTTTGCTCCAATTCAAATATCCCTCCATCTTTTCTACCCAGAGACTCCTACTCATCTTTGGTGACCCATCTCTGTGCCCCCTCCTTCTTGACGCCCTCCTGTGTCCTCTCCCTTTGGCCTTGCACTTTGCTCCATTGTTCAATCTTGTACTTGTCCCGGTACCCAGCATCATGTCTCATCCAACTAAGATCCCAACACATATGGAATAAAAGAAGGATAACCGGTCATTCCAGGTAGGAGATGCTAAGAACTAAAGATGAGAAGAGAGACTCCAGGTGGTTAGCAACAGCTTCTGGAAAAGGCAATGACCTCTGGGCTGTAGCTACAGGATGCTCAGGCTTCATAAAGGACCAATGTTTCTTGAGATGCTTTTAGGCAACACACGGAGACTCTGTGAAATAATTTTGAGTCACTTGGTGAGAAGAACATTCCTTTTTTTATTTTTCAACCTTCCAATCAGTCAAAGAGAAAATCTCAATCAGACCCTACAGCCCCTTCAACACACTTCCCTAGTTGCCAATCGCAGTTTCACAACCCAAAACTGGCCTTGGGCTCAGAGCCTGTAGGAAGCAACAGCATCTAGTTAGAAGTTAAGTATTTATTTATGTCATTTCCATCTATTTCTGGCAAGTGATTCTGATTTTCATTTTTTGGTAGTAACAGATTTCTTTCATAAACATCTATTCGTTAAAATGACAGGTAAACTGATGTACCAAAATGCAGTAATTATTTAAATGGGTCGTACAAAATATTAATATAAAATATTAAATATCAAATAAAAAATTAAACAGGGAGTACAAAAAAATCTTGAAGGCATTTTGTGAATGCCTAACACACGGGAACTTACACCACGGTTGGGGGCAAGCATGTTGTTTGTAAACCTTTCCCAGGCTGCCTGCAATGTGATTGGAGCCCTGGGAAGGCCCTAGCCTTTTTTTACCTCCTCCCCTGATCCCCATGTGATGCTGCCACCCCGGGATGTACCCCCCAGGTCTTGGATGCCCGAGCTGGATGCAGGAGGGGTTGGCAGAGTTGGGGTAAGCAGGGGAGGCCAGAGCCAGAAGAGCAGCCCCTCTCGGGCCCTGCACGTGCATTCTCTGCAAATGCATTCGTGTTGGGGTAGGGGGTGGTCCTAAAAGTCTAGGCCTGACTGTGTTGGGGCAATCGGGACCTGCCTGACTGACCAGAAGCTTCCAGCTGGGGTACCCCTACCCAGCTGACTTTCGTGAGAGAGCCCATTTCCAGCCCGGGTCCAGAGCCCTCCAAACTCTGCCCTCAGCCACCTCCTCCCTCCACCATCAGGGCTGGCCCTAACCCACACACAGCTCTGAACAGCAGGTGGTAACCCTCCGAATTCCATGGCAGCTACCAGGGAAGGCTGGGCTGCCGGTGGGGACACCCATGTCCCAGGGGGACAGCGAGGCGAGGACCTAACAGTTCATGTACTCCGGGTCGACGGTCACAGCTGGCTCTCCCTAAATTTTGGACTTGGCTGGCCAATTTCCTACATGCACTGAGGAAACACTGGTCACTGCCAGCCCCCCTCCCTTCCCTGAGTGCTAAGGGGTCCAGGCCTTTCTCCCACCTCTGGGCTGTCCCTGCACATCTGCTCCGGGGCTTGTCACCCTCTCCTGAGCTCTCTCTGTGTCTCTCTGCTCTCTCCATCTGGCACCCCTCACTGGGGCTCAGGGAAGCAGTGGAGCGAAGAGAGAAGGGGCTGCCTCCCAGCCCCACCTTCCCTGCCCTGGGGCCTTGGCCTCAGTTTCCTCATGAGAAGCCCTTCCATACACGGTTGTCAGGGGCCATAAATACAGTGCACGCATTAGGCCTTGTCTGGAGGGGTCTCTGGATGAATTTCCAACTGCGGCCCTGCTCCCCACATCGGACAGTCCCCTCCACATCTACCTCCAGTGTCAAGAGGAGCTTGCTGCGCTGGACAGTCCTGCGGCCGGGAAATGAGACCCTCCTCCTGTAGTCCCTGGGCGCCGTCCCTTCCCTCCCCCCCCCCAAGTTCTCCCTGTCTGGCACAGGGATCTAGACTCCGGAAGATGGGTTCAGGGATGCGGGAGGCTCGCAGAGCCCTGGCCTGGGTGAGCGATTTCTTCTGGCTCGCTCCCCTACCCTCTCAGGGCTCGGGGGCTGCCCTCAGAGTCCCACCTGAAACCCCTCCCGCAGGAAACCTCCAGAGCACAGGTGAGAAATATCGCACACTCAGCTCAGGGCACCCTGGCACCTGAGACCCAGGGCGGATCTGCGCTGCCTTTGCAGCCCGCTGGGCAAGGCTGCAGCCCGCACCCACCAAGCCAGTACCCACAGTGCAGGCCCTGCTCACAGAAGGGGAAGGAGTGGGACACAAGGGGCTGCTAGGACTCAGGTGAACAGAAGAGCAGAGAGGAAACCAGATGCCACCTATGAGGTGTCCCCAGAGGGCAGGGGTAAGAGGACTGGGGCGTGAGGGGACAAGGACAGCCTTCCTCGGACCACAGGGGCCCTGCTGCTTGCTGGAACCAGCCGCTCACACCCCACGCTTGCTGTGTCACTGGGCCCCAGGTGGGGCCCAAGGAGCGCCCTGAGTCGTCGTGCGTGGTTGTTCGGGGAGGCAGGCGTGGGCCTACGGCCAGCATCTCCATTATCCATCAAGGCAGTGACTGCCCGCTGGCTCGGGGTCAATGCTTCTTTCTTCACATCTTAGGCGCCTGCCACCACCCGACGTAGGCAGACCCCATGACAGCAGGGGCCCTGGGCAAGGGTGCGAGGACATACCTAGCAAGGAGGTTCAGAGCACCAGCTTTTGGAGCCAGACAGGTCTGAGTCCAAAGCCAAGTTCTTCCACTCATTTGGGGAAAGTTGCTTCCCCTCGCTGACTCTCGATTTCCTCACTGTACGTTGGGATTCATCTTTTCTTGAGTACTTACTACATTCCAGGCATTGTCCTGAGGACTTGGGATAAAGTGGTGAGCAAGCCAGACATTAGCCCCTACCTTCTTGGACACTTACGGGATAAAACAGACCCTCAGAATAAATGTATAACTCAAAACAGGGGTGAGGGCTATTGGTGGGGAAATGGGGAGCACATAAGGAAAGTGTGGCCCCATCTGAGAGATCAGGCCCCCCTGAGAAAGAGACACTTCAGTGAAGGGTGAGTAGGAGTGAGCCAGGAGAGGAGCATCCTCGGGAAAGCATAGGCAGCATGTGCAAATGTCCTGAGGTGGGAAGGAGCATCATGACTGCAAAGGCAGAAGACCAATGTGGCTAAAGGGTTGATGGTGAGGCTTAAAAGAGCTAATGTAAAGCTACTTGTGTGGGTCCAGCACCTAGTGAGACATTTTCCTGTCGGTGGCATTGTGCCTCCCCGCTAACTTCCCCTGGAACCCTGTGGACAACTTGGGTCTCAGCCATCTCTTTTGTTATCAGTCTACCCCTCTGGTCTGTTGAGCCCCTAGTAAGATCAAGGACCTGTGTTCAGTGGGGGCTGGGGAGGAGGGCACACAAAGGTTGGAGGACCATAATTTCTTCCATC